TGACAGGCGACCGGTTGTATTCTCCAAAGGGAGTGTTCTGTACTCGTTGAACAGGGGTAATATGTCAGCGCTTTGAGCATGCAATGTGCATGGATAAATGCGCAATATAAATGGACTATTATTATTATTTGTAGATTGATGTTCATGATGTCAATCACTTGATTTTCTGGTCCAGCCAATTATTTACAGACCACCTTCGTGTAGGTGGAATATTCCTCAGTCAAAGTTCGCAACAAACAAAGCTAAACTTCTACAAAGTGAGCATGTATTATGCTCACAGAAAATATACCACTACAACTCAACATACCATCATTCAATCACTGTCACAAAATTACTTGTGTACCCTGCATTATGCCACGTTATTTCAATCAGATTACTGCCGATGATGCCCTGCATATGTGAAACAAGCCTCAGTTGTCTGAGAAAACTTACACATTGAGTATTGTAATCAGTGTAATCAGTAGGACTGGCTAAAGTGATTGATAATTTGAAGTATTTTAAAATCATAATCATTGAAAGTATCTTTCATGAACTATTGTGATGAAATATAGTTAAGATTTACATATATAATACACAAACTTAAGCCTTTTACCCATGGGCCACTTTGAAATTGTGTCCAGAACGTTGTTTTGTTTGTAATCAACCAATTAACCAATAACATTAGCTGAAAAGCAGCTAAAACTAAACTCGTTTCAATAATGGTTGCCTTGGAGTTGTATACAGTATACCCCTTCTGTAAAAGCTCATTAATGTACACCAGAAAGTAATGACCAACAAAGTTTTAGTCTTATTAGGGCTTGCTTAGAAAGGTTTCAGATTAGAAATTGGCCAGGGGACGCTTAATGGGAGCTTGATAGATCAAATGCAGTATCATAAATTTCATACTTATATAGTCAGTCATATTTGTTGTATTTGTTAGTTTAATGTCTATATGTTGTCCTCATGATTGAAATAAAACTGATTCACACATTAAAGAAAAATAAATAAGTGAACTGAGAAGAGACAGATAAAATAAGTAAAAACAATGTGACATTCTTACATACTCTTCTTTGTTTACTAGGGGTGGGTATTGCAGAGAATTTTCATATTGCGATATATTGTGATGCGAAAGCATATATTGCGATATGTATTGCAATATATTGCAAGAAGTTCTTTTTAACAAAAACTACTTATAATCGAGTTATTGCTTGATTTATAAAGCAAAAACCCAACAAAATCACTATGCTTGACTAGGCTTTGATAAAAACTTTTAATGATGACAAAATAAATATGTAAATAATGTTTGACACAAATGAAACAAGGAAAGGAACAATTTAAAAAACGGAAATATCCAAAGATTTTCGAATGCATGTCAAAATACCGGTTTTCGATCAGCATATCACAATACCTATCGTGTTCATGTCTGAACCGGTAAATACTGGTAAACCGGTTATATTGCGCAGCCCTATTGTCTACTAGCTATCAAAAACTTGCAGCGAGGTGAAAGTCACCCCTAGTGGTGTTCCGATTAATTGAAATTAATTGAAGGTTGGTTGTAGTGAAACAACGACCAAGCAAGCGATAAACAACTAATTTTGGAACTACTGTTTAAGTGGTTAAACATTTGACGATGGAACATAGCTTAAGAGTTGTCAGGGTCTGAAAATGTGTTAAATTCTTAGAAAACTCATTTAACTTACTGAAAAGACATGACTGAATAGTTCTTGATGGCTCTGGGAATTTTATGTTCATGATATATTAGTCATCATTTAAAGTAGCAAGTTGCATAATTTTACACTGGATGTGAAATTTGCAAAGGTAGTTTGCACAGTTTCTAAATAAAACGTTAAGCCCATTTCTGGTGTCCCCCGGCGTGATATTGCTGGAATATTGCTAAAAGCGGCTTAAAACTAAACTCAGTCAGTCAGTCAGTCTAAATAAAACAAAAAACAACAGAGAACCACATGTTTTTTCTTTATAATTATCTGCAATAACAACCTGAACTGGAAAATCTGAAAAATGACGCTAACCAATATTCTTTTCGATGATTTCCAACACTAGTCGCCACTTATTTTTAGTGCTATACATTGTGTGAAGCACTTCTCTCGATAAGGCCGTGCGCGGCAGCAGAGTTCAGACAGCGATTCACAACATGACACAAATTACAGCGCCTGGGCTGCTGCTCTGTCTGATGCCAGGTTAGTACCACTACCAGTACATTTGGAATAATGTTTGTCACATCACAGAAATCTCCAAAGTTTCATGATCATCTAGTCCACTTTAGACAAACCCTTAAAACCAAATTGTTTTGTTTTGAGTGATACTTCTGTGTTTTGCATCTGATAAGACATTATTAAGTTGCATTAAACCCTGGTTAACCAATCTGAATGAAAGAAGCACAGGTCATTTGGCTTTTTACAACAATTTGGCTTCATTTCTCTACCACCTCAAGTTGGAAATGCCAATATTAAGAAAAGAAAACTTACACTGGACACAAATATGCCTTTGATTGTACACACTGAGTGTATTTGCTACAGAGATGACAAATGATAGGATGTAGAAATTATCCACAATGTTCTGGCACTGTCCTAATTATATACATCCAACACTGTTTTAGAAATATCATTTGACATTGTTAAGTTCTGAAATTGAGCTTACTGAAAGATGATGATTTGTCATTGATTGTCATGGCAACGGCTTGAAGACATTCGTTTCTTGGTAGTTACCCCGTAAGTCCAGAAAGAACCTATGATAGAAAAACACTTTGGCCAGCATAAACACGATGTTAAATGTGACATCACACTTCTGGAAGGAGAAACTGCACACTTTCTGGTTATGTTAGTGACCATATGAAACATTATTATACAATTTAAGGTTATGTTATATGTCCTGAAAATGTACTCTGCAGTAACCAGTACCCTGAATATTCTGTAAACTAGTTTATCATTTGTTCATTGTTGTAAGTTGTAAGTTTGCTGACTTTTGAGTTCTTCTTTGTTATTTAAATATCTAGTGCATGAGCTGCACACGTTCTACACATACAGAACAGAATGTGTGTATTTGACAGTATATAGGGTATACATGTAGCACTATGACCCTTGGGCTAGGCAGAGTTTCTACCTTCCAAATGTTTATTCCAGGAGGGGGCGGTGGGGTAGCCTAATGGTTAAAGCGTTCGCTCGTCACGCCGAAGACCCGGGTTCGAATCCCCACATGGGTACAATGTGTGAAGCCCATTTCTGGTGTCCCCCGCCGTGATGTTGCTGGAATATTGCTAAAAGCGGCGTAAAACCAAACTCAGTCAGTCAGTCAGTACTGCAAGAAGTAAATGATGACATTTACAGATTAAGACATATGGCTAAAACCATCATTTGGAAAAACTCATGTTAACCTTTTATAAGATTGCATGATTAAGAAACAGATTCCCACTCACTGTCCTGATCTGGTGACTGACTGAGTTTGGTTTTACGCCGCTTTTTAGCAATATTCCAGCAACATCACGACGGGGGACACCAGAAATGGGCTTCACACATTGTGCCCATGTGGGGATTCGAACCCGGGTCTTCGGCATGACGAGCCAACGCTTTACCAATAGGCTACCCCACCGGCCCTTCCTGATCTGGTGAGAGATCCTGTGATTCGTCTGATCAAATGTATTCTGACATAATGGGATCCTCAGTTAGCGGCAGCAAGTATGGAGATCTGATTTGATTGAGATTGAAAATTATTTGCATACAATTTTATGTCAGCTTTAAAATGTATAAAGTTTTGTGATGTACCAAATATTTGGTGGGTTTTATCCCCTTAACTGGTTATTAGAACTTAACCGTTTACGATCCCATAAATTAAGAAATGAAATATTAATCAATTTGAAATAAAATTATGTCTATTATTGATTGTCAGAACAAGAGTACTGATACAAATATTTGGTTGTTTTTATAATTTGACACTCACTGACAGGAATTTATGCTCAGGACAGGGGCAGTGGGGTAGCCTAATGGTTAAAGCGGCTGCTTGTCACGCTGAAGACCTGGGTTTGATTACCCACATGGGTACAATGTGTGAAGCCCATTTCTGGTGTCCCCCCGCCGTTATATTGCTGGAATATTTGCTAAAAGTGGAGTAAAACCATACTCACCCACTCACTCAGTATGCTCAGGACAAGGCCTACAACAAATAACATTAAACATGGTAACTATAATCATAACTATCTCTTTAGCTTTCTTATGGTTCTTATGACAAAACTGGGCTGTGACTATAATGTTTACACTTTTTGCAAAGAATGCAATGTTATTATACTTCTATATTTAAGATGTTAGCATGTTAAGAACCTGGGCCTTTTCAAAAAACATTTTCAGTTTAATTTAAATAAATAATGTTCCCACAATTTGCCTGTGGCATACAGTTTCTTTTAAATCCATTAAAATGATGAATGTAACATATTTAGCTTGTCAGTAATATCACGTGGACATTTTGACTAATGCTTGTAGTTGTAGAGTCCTAAATTTGTTAAAGGTATGTGACTTGTGAAATAATTCCCTTTTGAGACTATTCCTACAGAAATTCTTTTTTCCTTTTTAGGTGTGTTCCCATGTGACCTTTGTAACATTTGGTTTCTACTGGATGTTCTTATGCTAATGAAGACACCTGAAAAGGTCTCATGAAGAAGTGAATGACATGGAAATCTGACATTACTGCTGATCCAGCGAGGCAGTTTGACTATTACTCTATTATGGAGGAACCAAACCAGTTACACATGAGGACAAATGACTCCAAAACAGACATGAATAATGGATGTGACAAAGAATCCTCGGTAACAAATGACGGGAACACAGACATGGACAACATATCCATAGAAACCAGTGATGGAAACGCAGAAAAGGGCATTGCGTCAGTAGAAACCAGTGATGACAAGAGTGGCGAAGACAATGCATTGACAGAAACCAATGATGGGAACACAGACAAGGGCAATGCATCAGTAGAAACCGATGATGATAGTGGCGAAGACAACCTATCCATAGAAACAAGTGATGAGAAGACAGACGAAGACAGCGCATCCATGGAGACAAGTGATTGTAGGACGGGGGGAGGATAATGCGTCCATTTCCAAAAGTGATGGTAAGACGGATGAGGATGCCGCATCCATGGAAGCCAATGATTCTAAGACCAACACTGAAATTGGAATCAGGCCTAATGAGAGTGGTGATGGTACGAAAGAAGAATCAAGTACCAAAAGGAGACATAAGAGAAGTCACCTGCGAGTCAAGCCTTTTCAGTCCAGTGAGTTTTGGAAAGCACTAACAGGAACAAGTGCCGCACAAGCCCCAGTAAAACGGCACAGTACTCCAAAGCCTTATATGTGTAGAGAGTGTGGGAAAGAATTTACTCGGTCAAATGACCTGCGGAGACACATGAGTTGTCACAGTGGAATCCGTCCATATCTGTGTAGCGAATGTGGAAAGACATTTTCTCGTTCAAGCACCCTGCAGACACATATTAGATGTCACAGTGGAGTCAGGCCTTATCAGTGTACTAAGTGTGACAAAGCGTTTAAGGCGTCTATGAGCCTGAAGAGGCATATGGTGTATCACAGTGGTATCAAGCCTCACCGGTGCGGCGAGTGTGGGAAAGATTTTATAACGACCAACGAGCTGCAGATTCACATGAGGTCCCACAGCGGAATCAGGCCTTATGAGTGTACTGAGTGTGGAAAGGGGTTTACCACATCAGGCAGTCTACATATCCATATGCGATCTCACACGGGAATCAAGCCATATCACTGTACTGAGTGCAGGAAAGCGTTCTCTACATCAGGAAACCTGCAGAATCACATGAGATCTCACACTGGAGTCCAACCTTATCAGTGTGGTGAGTGTGGGAAAACGTTCACACGGTCTAGTGGCCTCCAAATACACATGAGGTTTCACACTGGCGTCAAGCCATATAAGTGTACGGAGTGTGGGAAATCATTTACACAGTCGGGCCACCTGGTGGGGCACATGAGGTGTCACAACAAAAGCAAGGCCCATCTTTGCAAAATGTGTGGGAAAACATTTAAAGATCCAAGTCAGCTTCAGATACATGTGATGAGTCACAATGAAGATGAGCCATTTGAGTGCAATGAATGTGGGAAAACCTTTACAGAGGCTAGTCAACTGCAGATGCACATTTTGAATCACAGTGTAGACAAGCCGTTGGATGGTGAAAAATCGTTTACAGAAACAAGTGGCCTGCAGGCTCACAGTTTGGATCATAGTGGCGTCAAGCCATTTGAATGTGAGAAATCATTTATGGAATCGCTCAACCTGCAGACCCATGTTTTGAATCATGGTGGAGACAAGCCCTTTGAGTGTAGTGAGTGTGGGAAAATATTTGCAGAATCAAGTCATCTCCAGATTCACATTTTGAGTCATAGTGTGAAGAAGCCGTTCGATTATAAGAAAGCATTTACAGAATCTGGTAACCTGCAGTCACGTTTTATGAATAACTTGGTAGACAAGCCCTTAGAGAAAGAGAAAATACATACAGAATCCGGTCATCAGCAGACGCAGATGGGCACTCCGAGCGGAATCAAACCATATGAGTGTATTGAGTGTGGCGAAACATTTATAGAATCAGGTCATTTGCAGACCCATATGAGTTCTCACAGTGGTGACAGACCCTTCCATTGCAACAAGTGTGGGAAAGACTTCACCAAATCCAGTTTACTGCATAGACACATGATGATTCACAGTGAAGGAAATCCCTCTAAATGTGTCGAGTGTGATGAAGACTTTGAAACAACCGATGATCTTCAGTCTCACATGAGGAGTCACAGTCAACCCAAACACTGAAAGCATCTACAAAATTATGTATCTTATTATCAACCATGTTATGTATTAAAAGTGAGAATTTATATACCAAAACAGGGCTCGATTTAAGAGATGTTAACCTACTTGCACCAGGTGCAACCTAAGATAAAACCTAGTTGTAACAGCCAAATTCCAGTTGCACTGCTTCTATTACAATATGTAATGAAAGGAATATGCTATTAAATTATTTATATGTTTTATTCAGAAGTTTACCCACTCAAAACTTGACTTGCACCTGGTTCAAGTTACACTAATAACTAGGTTGCACTTTGTAATATTGGGTTGCACAAGTGCAAGTAACAAAGCACTAAATCGAGCCCTGCAAAGCTTTATCAGTGTTAAAGTATGCTTTTGTGTACACAAGATTGTAAGACGTGTGGAGAAAGGCTGTGTAACTGAAAAGTTTGGTTTTTTGAGCCTCTAGCTCAAGTTGTTGTATCATATTCTTTATTTCTCTAACTTAGCTAACATAGCTTAGGTATAACCAGTAATATCTGCAAATAATTCCATGATACAAGTTTGGGCTAGTATCAGTAAAATCAACTGTTTCGAGCACCAGCTGTTAGAGGTCACAGTGTGGTTCTTCCTCTATAATGTCAGTGTGCCATGTCTCCATTCTTCCTTAAGTGGCATTTAGAAGCTGGTATGATCATTTGCTTGATAACGGTGTTAGGATCTACACCGAAACGTCGCAACTACTACTGCAACAAAGAAGTTGTCTATCCATAAAAAGTGTTCCACTTCATGTCTCCATTCTGTTACTAGTAAATAGTAACCTGGCTTGTTTTGGATGTGATGTCAGCACTATCTCTCATTATCTCTTTACTAATTGTGGCAGTGGGGTAGCCCAGTGGTTAAAGCAATCGCTCGACACGCCAAGGTTTGATTCCCCACATGGGTGCAATGTTTGAATTCTGGTGTCTTTCCCCCCCCCACCGAGATGTTGTTGGAATATTACTAAAAGTGGTGTAAAAGTATACTCACTCACTCACTCTTACACTTAACTTCACATCAATGCCCAGTCAAAAGACAACTACCTTTTCAGGACATGCAGGATTCAAAATCATGACTTGACATGAATTTTTCTGAAGGTCATTATAAGGATTTATCTTTTAAAGATTGAGGTTATACTTAAAGGTTGTAATAAGGAGCGATGGGGTAGCCTAGTGGTTAAAGCTGCCGCTCATTTCACACCAAAGACCTGGGTCTCGACCTCCCCATGGGTACATTGTGTGAAGTCCATTTCTGGTGGTTTGGGCTAGTATCAGTAAAATCAACTGTTTCGAAAGCACCAGCTGTTAGAGGTCACAGTGTGGTTCTTCCTCTATAATGTCAGTGTGCCATGTCTCCATTCTTCCTTAAGTGGCATTTAGAAGCTGGTATGATCATTTGCTTGATAACGGTGTTAGGATCTACACCGAAACGTCGCAACTACTACTGCAACAAAGAAGTTGTCTATCCATAAAAAGTGTTCCACTTCATGTCTCCATTCTGTTACTAGTAAATAGTAACCTGGCTTGTTTTGGATGTGATGTCAGCACTATCTCTCATTATCTCTTTACTAATTGTGGCAGTGGGGTAGCCCAGTGGTTAAAGCAATCGCTCGACACGCCAAGGTTTGATTCCCCACATGGGTGCAATGTTTGAATTCTGGTGTCTTTCCCCCCCCCACCGAGATGTTGTTGGAATATTACTAAAAGTGGTGTAAAAGTATACTCACTCACTCACTCTTACACTTAACTTCACATCAATGCCCAGTCAAAAGACAACTACCTTTTCAGGACATGCAGGATTCAAAATCATGACTTGACATGAATTTTTCTGAAGGTCATTATAAGGATTTATCTTTTAAAGATTGAGGTTATACTTAAAGGTTGTAATAAGGAGCGATGGGGTAGCCTAGTGGTTAAAGCGTTCGTTCGTCACACCAAAGACCTGGGTTCGATTCCCCACATGGGTACATTGTGTGAAGTCCATTTCTGGTGTTCCCCTGCCGTGATATTGCTGGAATATTGGTTTGGGCTAGTATCAGTAAAATCAACTGTTTCGAGCAGCAGAAACAGCACAGAAAACATCATGCAAGTGACATTGCACAAAGCTGCCATCATGGAAGAACGGAATCATTTCATTGGGAACTATTTGTAGTGTTTTGTCATATATGTCCTTTTCTAAACAAAGCTATGTCGATGAACTGGCCCATGTATTAAATATAGGGAGATTCGATGCACTAAATGAGTTATTATGAATGAAATGAGGACATAACTCTGAAACTGGAAATCAAAATCAAATTTTGGATCGACCATTCAGTAAATACCTATAGCTAGTTATACATTGTGTCAAAACATGTTTTACTGCTGTGAAAACACCAACAGGCTTGGTCAGTCAGTCACTGTTGTTTATTATATACACACCTTGCTTTTCAAGACATGAAATGAAATTTATAAGACTTATTGATGTGGTGCTTTTTAATACAAAAGAAATGAAATGGTTTAAATGGCTTCTCTTTGGTCCACTGGAAGTGTTGGTTTTTTTATACTTTCAAACTTAAGAATAAGAGTTATCAGATATATTCAAATGGCTGTTATCTAGCCTTCGCTTTGTTACACTTTCAGACTGACATGATCAGTAGATAGGAATGGCTAAATGGGTGAAAAGGGTTAATTTTTCCAATTTCAAATGATAATTATTGGATGAGCAAGTCCATGACCTAGATTTTCGAAGCTCTGTGTTAAGATGGTTGTAAGTGTCATACATTAACATTAACTTACGACTATCTTAGTACTAAGAGAGCTTAGAAAATTTTAGGCCCGGGTGGAATTCTTAACCATGTGTTGTTACTGTTTGTTTGGATGTCTCGAATGAAAGTTAGCTCAGATCCAACACTTCCTTTTGTTAAGATATTAGAAAGATGTTTCCCCAAACCTATCATGTCAGCCTTTAAGCCTTACTGCATCATGTTTAGTCTTACATATACAGTCAGTGTTCACAAGTCCGAAACATGCATGTGTTGAAATGAGTATAGTCCTCATTCATCAGAACATACTGGATGACTGACAACATTTTCAAAATGTTTTGTTTCTTCCTTGTGGGCCAAAAAGAAGAACTTCAAAAGGACTTTTGATGTATCTTTATTCTTGTGGGCATTATGTAATCTACATGTGCATGTGACTGTTAAATCATTCAACATGTCAGATGGGACCCACATTGTGTAGGATGTAAATATTACTGCTAAATACATTATATATTCTGATGTGTCTTCCACGCTCCTGATTTTTGGGGGTTTGGGGTTTGTAATTTTAAATTTTTTTTGCTGCATCGGCAATATTCCATTATCCAGCTATGTCAAAGTGGTCTGTAAATAATTCAGGCTTTGCTAGGCGTACAGGTAGTTAGTAGTATGGCCTGCATTCACAAACTCATGTTAACAGTTTGCTGTAGACTAGAATTACAAAGATTTCCTTGAAAACATTTACCTCAGTTACCATGGTTACCTGTCAAATAGAGCCCATGACCAATGTATACTTCTTGTTCATGTGTGTATGTTGCAAATAAAGGTTTCTTGACTATCTTTGTCTTTGTGTCGAATTATTGTGGACAGGTACATTAGCTGGTTGACTTAAAAAATGTCTTTTCTGTCTCCAAGTAATAGTGGAAAACTTATGCTATTTTAGGATTGAGGGCATGGGTAGCCCAGCGTTCTTGGGCAAACCAGAAACCTGTCGCCGCACTCAGCAATATTCCTGCTATATATTGGTGTAAATATTCAAGTCTTGACCAGACAATCCAGTAATCAACAGCATGAGCAACGATCTCCAAAATTGGGATACGATGACGTGTAGAGTGCAGTATAAACAACAAACCAACCAACCAACCAACCATTTCGCACAATTACACTAAAAGTCGACAACAAATGTGATATACATCACAAGTTGGGAGTCATACCCATGATATAGAAGCCTCATGATCTCTGGGCAAGCTTGGATTCGGCTGGAACCATAGATTTGGTTTGTTTGTTGGTTAATGCGCACTCAGCAATGGAACCATAGATTAACTTTGAATGCTGATCCTACTCTACAGACAGTGAACATATTTGTTTGTTTATGATATGGTAGCTTTTGCCATGTTTGGACCAGACAATCCAGTGATTGACATCGTAAGCATCAATGTACACTGTTGGTATAGAGAGTGAGTTCAGTTTTACGTCGCACTCAGCAATATTCCTGCTATATAGCAGTAGCCTGTAAATAATCAAATCTGGAGCAGACAATCCAGTGATCAACAGAATGTGGATCGATCTACACAATTGGAATACGATGACATGTGTCAACCAAGTCAGCGAGCCTGACCGCCAGATCCCATTAGTCGCCTCTTACGACCATCATGGGTTACTGAAGATCAATTCTCACCCGGATCTTCACAGGTCACTATTGGTATATGGTGACATGTATGAACCAAGTCACCAAGAATGACCACCCAATCCCTGTAGATTGGGTATGTCCAGTTTACAAGTTCTACTGGCAAACAAGGATAAGTTGGACCGGCACAGAGAACGCCATTTACAAGAATAAGTGGTGCACGGCAATGAACAAACCCATTTGGTTTGTGAAAGGTAGAGCAGATGTAGGCTAGTTCACATGCATTGCATGACAATGAAATTAATTCCATGCGTAGCTGCACACACCTTGCTCATAAGACTCGCGTCGGTGTAGCAAGTGGCACTACACTTGATCGCGGACAACCTCGGGGCCCCTTCGCTAACAATGGCAAGCGCCAATGGGCGGCACTCATACATGCTGATACCGGTCAATTGTCAGTTTGGTGCTCAACTTATCCTTGTTTGCCAGTAGTTCTCTTGGTATGTTCTTTTAGCCTGAAGTAAATTAATTCACTCAAAAGTGCTTCTTAATTTCTTGGTACTTTCATGTTTTATAGCTGTAATTCATCAGACGAACCGATATGATTTTTACGGTAACCTTTGTTTCAAAACAGCATTTCATTAAATGTTTCCTAAAACAGAAAGTAAAGTCACTGAACCAGAAGTGCATTATTAACTAGGGATGTCACGATACATAAGTTTCATGGATCGATACGTATCACGATACCCATGTCACCATTCGATACGTATCACTATACCTGTTTTCGTGGCATTATTGCGTAAATTTAGTTACATTGATATTGCATATCTTATAATTGTCCATGAAAAGATCAACATACAGTCAAATCCCGATGAGTCGAATGCCGGTGTCTCGAATATTATGCATAACACGAAGTACCTGTCGGTCCCGACCATTCCCTGCTATTGTTGTCATCATTTGATTCCCGGTGACACGAATTCGTCTCATAAATACACACGATGACTCGAAATGGAAATTTGGTCCCATGAGATTCAAACAATAGTAATCTTGTATACATAAGCCGAAGTCAGTCAATGAGAAGTTAATTGGCGTTGCTATCTGATCCAATTAACAAACCGGCGCGGCTCGCACCTTTCCGCTATTGTCGTTGTGAGTTCAAAAGGCAGATTAGTGATTTTTAGATATGATGTGCTGAATAAAGGAATCGTTCAATATTCAATCATCTTTTTTTTCTATCCTCATAGACATACCTATGTCTCGAATACATCGATAAGCCGAATCTTTTACTTGGTCCCCAGCGATTCGACTCATCGGGATTTGACTGTATTTTATTCTCAGATATTAAAAAGTTCTAATTTCCCATCTTTGAGCATGAAAAATAATTATTTATAACTCTCATAACATCAAAAAACATGATACAATTGCAAAATGTAAACGATACATAAACATATTTAAACCGATAATTTCAAAACTAAATATCGATAATTGTATCATCTTAGAAAAAGTATCGATGTATCGTGGCATCCTTGTTATTAACATTAATACAATATGTTATTTTGTCGACTATGTATAATTCACTAACTCAAGGCAGCTTCCATCTAAAGATCAAAGTGAAGCTTGTGTATGGATACCCTGACCCAACTTGGTAGTGAAACCAATCTAATCCTTCAAGCTGAGCACATACCGGGATGTCTAAATATTTTGTTTGTTATTTAACGCTGTACTCAGCAATATGCCAGCTATATGTCTGTAAAACATCAAGTCTGAACAAGACATTCCAGTGATCAACAGCATGAGCATTGGTAATTTTTAAAAATGTGTACTACAGTAGATATGTGGTTTCCTAAACAAAGGTGGTATCATTAACCTGCAAGTAATATGTTGAAGGGTCTTTATCTAGTTATCAAGGTCTTACAAAGGTGGTATCATTAACCTGCAAGTAATATGTTGAAGGGTCTTTATCTAGTTATCAAGGTCTTGCAATTGTGGTATCATTAACCTGCAAGTAATATGTTGAAGGGTCTTTATCTAGTTATCAAGGTCTTACAAAGGTGGTATCATTAACCTGCAAGTAATATGTTGAAGGGTCTTTATCTAGTTATCAAGGTCTTACAAAGGTGGTATCATTAACCTGCAAGTAATATGTTGAAGGGTCTTTATCTAGTTATCAAGGTCTTACAAAGGTGGTATCATTAACCTGCAAGTAATATGTTGAAGGGTCTTCATCTAGTAGTCATGGTCTCACAGTAACGGAAAGGTTAGAAATGACCTAAAGGATATTTGTTTCTGTGAACACCTTTCTCCATTTTAAAATTTTCTTTTTCAGTACCCAACTGACAAGTGAGCTAGGGTTTCCAAATGAGAAGGTTCTTGAGGAAGTGAACAAAGACCTATGAACAATGGTGATATAGAGAAGGCTGATTGATCCATTTTTAAATATGGAGAACCAAATACAAATGACCATTAGTACCCTTAAGGCAGAGCCGGCAGACATAAAATGTGAGGATGTGTTGACGAGCGATGGTGTTGACACATCTGTTCAGCACATGAGGGAAGAAAAACCGTATCTGTGCAGCACATGTGGTGCGGTATTTACTTCGTCAACTGACCTGCAGGAACACACGAACAACCACTGTGATGTACATGCATTTCAGTGTGGTCAGTGTGATGAGGAGTTTACATTGTTCAGTGCCCTTCAAGATCACATGAGGGGTCACAGTGTTGCCGGGTCTTCGCATGGTGAAATGACTTCTTTGTCTGATGACCATCAAGCTCACGCAAACATCCAGCGTGAGATACATGCATTTCAGTGTGGACAGTGTGGTCAAGAATATAGTTTGTTCAGTGACCTTCAAGATCACATGAGGGGTCACAGTGTTGCCAAGTCTTTGCAGGGCAAAGAGCTTGATAAAGAATTTACTTCAAGTGTTCAGGAGAAATACAATGGAGGTCAAAGTTGTGCCAAGACTTCTTCATCTGATGACCATCAAGCTCACGAAAACATCACACGTGAGATACATGCATTTCAGTGTGGACAGTGTGGTCAGGAATATAGCTTGTTCAGTGACCTTCAAGATCACATGAGGGGTCACAGTGTTGCCAAGTCTTTTAAGGGCAAAGAGCTTGATAAAGAATTTACTTCAAGTGTTCAGGAGAAATACAATGGAGGTCAAAGTTGTGCCAAGACTTCTTCATCTGATGACCATCAAGCTCACGCAAACATCCAGCGTGAGATACATGCATTTCAGTGTGGTCAGTGTGGTCAAGAATATAGCTTGTTTAGTCACCTTCAAGATCACATGAGGGGTCACGGTGTTGCCAAGTCTTTGCAGGGCAAAGAGCGTGAAAAAGAATTTACTTCAAGTGTTCAGGAGAAATACAATGGAGGTCAAAGTTGTGACAAGAGATTACAAAGTGGAAAGGGTGATCAAGAAATTACCTCGAGCAGTGAACTGAAAGAACTCAGTGGTGCCAAGCCATTACAGTGCGAAGATAGTAATGAAGAATTTACTTTAGCAAGTGTTCTGCAGAAACACAAGAAAAGTCACAGAAGTGCCGTTCCATTACAGTGTGAAGAGTGTGATGACAAATTTACTTCATCAAATGACCTTCAGAGACACAAGAAGAGTCACAGTGGTGCCAAGCCATTACAGTGCGAAGACTGTGATGAAGAATTTACTTCAGCAAGAGTTCTGCAGAAACACAAGAAGAGTCACAGTGGGGCCAAGCCAGTGCAGCATGATAAAGAATTAATTTCATCAAGAATTCTGAGGAAACGCAAGAGTCAAAGTGTTTCCAAGCCATTACAGTGTGATCAATGTAAACAGGAGTTCACCTCATCAAGTGACATGAAGAAACACAAAAAGAGTCACGTTAATGCTAAGCTGATAAAGTGTCATAAAAAAAATCCTTCATCAAGTGATCTGAAAAAGCACCAGAGTCACAGTGGTGCCAAACCGTTACAGTGCAAAGAGTGTGCTGAAGAATTTACTTCAGCAAGTGTACTGCAGAGACATATGAAGAGTCACAGAAGTGCGGTTGAATTTCAGTGTGAAGAGTGTGATGAAGAATGTACTTCTGCAAGTGATCTGAAAAAACACCAGAAGAGTCACAGAAGTGTGGTTCCATTACAATGCAAAGAGTGTGATGAAGAATTTACTTCTGCAAGTGTACTGCAGAGACATATGAAGAGTCACAGAAGTGCGGTTCCATTACAATGCAAAGAGTGTGATGAAGAATTTACTTCAGCAAGTGTACTGCAGAGACATATGAAGAGTCACAGAAGTACCGTTGAATTTCAGTGTGAAGAGTGTGATGAAGAATTTACTTTATCAAGTGATCTGAAGGAACACCAGAAGAGTCATAGTAGTGGCAAGCCATTACAGAGCGATGAGTGTGATGAAGAATGTACTTCAGCAAGTGATCTGAAGGAACACCAGAAGAGTCATAGTAGTGGCAAGCCATTACAGAGCGATGAGTGTGATGAAGAATGTACTTCAGCAAGTGATCTGAAGGAACACCAGAAGAGTCATAGTAGTGGCAAGCCATTACAGAGCGATGAGTGTGATGAAGAATGTACTTCATCAAGTGATCTGAAGGAACACCAGAAGAGTCATAGTAGTGGCAAGCCATTAAAGTGCAAAAAGTGTGATGAAGAATTTACTTTATCAAGTGATCTGAAGGAACACCAGAAGAGTCACAGAAGTGCCAAGCCATTACAGTGCAAAAAGTGTGATGAAGAATTTACTTCATTAAGTGACCTAAAGGAACACAAGAAAAGTCACAGAGGTGCCAAGTGCAAAAAGTGTGATAAATCATTCACTTCTTCAAGTGATCTAAGGAGACACATGAGGGGCCACAGTGGACTCAAGCCTTATAAATGTGATCAGTGTGGGAAATCCTTCAGTCATTCAAGTAACCTCAATGCACATCAGAGGACTCACAATGGAATCAAACCCTTCCTGTGCAGCGTGTGTGGGAAAACCTTCACGGAATCAGGAACTCTTAGCACTCACATGAGGTGTCACAGTGGTGAGAGGCCTTTTGCTTGTAAGGAGTGCGGAAAAGCATTTACACGTTCAAATCACCTCAAGAGACACATGAGATGTCACACTGGGGAGAAACCATATAAGTGTCGTATTTGTGGAAAAAAATTTGCACAATCAGAATCTTTACGAGTACACTTGAGGACTCACAGTGGAGAACGTCCTCATAACTGTGATCAGTGTAAGAAAGAATTTGTAACTTCATGTCAGCTTGAAAGACACATGATAAGTTGTCATAACCAATTTGTGAAAAACAGTCATCGTTGTAGCAATTGTGCGAAAGTATTTAAGCAATTATCTGACCTCGAAAGACACGAGAGGTGTCATAGTGGCAGCAAACCTTATGAATGTGATGAATGTGGGAGAACGTTTGCACAGTTGGGAACGTTGGTGAGACATGAACGGTGCCACAAGGAAGTCCGGCCCTATCCATGTACTAAGTGTGACAAAGCATACTTACAGTCATGCAGCTTGAGGGACCACATGATGGCGGCACATAGCAAGGCCAAGCCTACCAGGTGTAGTAAGTGTGAGAAATCTTTCTCACGAAAGGCTGACTTAGAGAGACACATGAAGCTTCACAGTGAAAACAAGCCTTATCAGTGTAGTGAATGTGACAAAGCATTTATACAAGCAAGTTGCCTGAAAAGACACATGAGGCACCACACTGGGGAGAAGCCTTTTAGGTGCGGCAAGTGTGGGAAGTCGTTCACCCAGTCAGGTTCTTTACAGACGCACAGGAAGAATAGCTGTAAATTGAAAGTCAGAGTAGCCGGTGTACGAAAGGTTGAAATTATGACAAGCGATTCATCACAGACAAGCGATTCATCACAGACAAGCGAATCATCCTGAAATGATATTTGAATCATGGAAAGAATAAATGTGAATTCAAAGTCAGAGAAGTTGGTGTATGAAAGGTTGAAATTATGGCAAGCGATTCATCACAGACAAGTGAATCATCCTGAAATTATATACTGAGAGAAACAAATAAAGGAACTGGAAAATTCAAGTGTTCCTTTAATATTTTCCAGTTTTCATCACCAGCTTTGAATAGCGCTGTGGGTGGAAATCTGAGAATAATTAAAGGAACACTATGTGTTCCTTACTTCAATATGCCTGTGTCCGTGTGTTTACGTAGACTTTACTTCAATATGCCTGTGTCCGTGTGTTTACGTAGACTTTACTTCAATATGCCTGTGTCTGTGTGTTTACGTAGACTTTACTTCAATATGCCTGTGTCCGTGTGTTTACGTAGACTTTACTTCAATATGCCTGTGTCCGTGTGTTTACGTAGACTTTACTTCAATATGCCTGTGTCCGTGTGTTTACGTAGACTTTACTTCAATATGTCTGTGTCAAAGCGTGTGTTTACGTAGACTTTACTTCAATATGCCTGTGTCCGTGTGTTTACGTAGACTTTACTTCAATATGCCTGTGTCAACGTGGTTACGTAGACTTTACTTCAGTATGTCTGTGTCAGTGTGTTTATGTAGACTTTACTTCAGTATGTCTGTTTCAATGTGGTTACGTAGACTTTACTTCAGTGTGCCTGTGTCAACGTGGTTACGTAGACTTTACTTCAGTGTGCCTATGTCAACATGGTTATGTAGACTTTACTTCAGTATGTCTGTGTTCGTGTGTTTACGTAGACTTTACTTCACTTTGTCCATGTCAGTGAGGTTACAAAGCTTTTACATGAGTGCGTCCGTGACAGTGTGTTTACATAGCCTTTACTTCAGTATGTCTATGTAAATGTTTACGTAGCCTTTACTTCAGTATGTCTATGTAAATGATTACGTAGCCTTTACTTCAGTATGTCTATGTTCATGTTTACGTAGCCTTTACTTCAGTATGTCTATGTAAATGATTACATAGCCTTTACTTCAGTATGTCTATGTAAATGTTTACGTAGCCTTTACTTCAGTATGTCTATGTAAATGATTACATAGCCTTTACTTCAGTATGTCTATGTAAATGTTTACGTTAGGCCTTTACTTCCTTTACTTTTCAGTATGTCTATGTAAATGATTACATAGCCTTTACTTCAGTATGTCTATGTAAATGATTACATAGCCTTTACTTCAGTATGTCTATGTAAATGTTTACGTAGCCTTTACTTCAGTATGTCTATGCAAATGTTTACGTAGCCTTTACTTCAGTATGTCTATGTAAATGATTACGTAGCCTTTACTTCAGTATGTCTATGTAAATGATTACGTAGCCTTTACTTCAGTATGTCTATGTAAATGATTACGTAGCCTTTACTTCGTATGTCTGTGTCAATGTTTGTATGTAGCCTTTACTTCAGTATGTCTATGTAAATGATTACGTAGCCTTTACTTCGTATGTCTGTGTCAATGTTTGTATGTAGCCTTTACTTCAGTATGTCTATGTAAATGATTACGTAGCCTTTACTTCGTATGTCTGTGTCAATGTTTGTATGTAGCCTTTACTTCAGTATGTCTATGTAAATGTTTACGTAGCCTTTACTTGAGTATGTCTATGTAAATGATTACGTAGCCTTTACTTCAGTATGTCTCTGTAAATGTTTACGTAGCCTTTACTTCAGTATGTCTGTGTCAGTGAGGTTACATAGCTTTTTGTCTAGTATGCCTGTGTCGTTACATAGCCTTTAGGTTAGTATGTCCATAGCCTGGCCTTCACTTGAGTACATGTAGTATGTCTGTATTTTTAGGTAAGAGTTCCGCCCATAACCCTGCTTGAAATGTTTTCTATTCATTATGATTATTTCGAGAGTTTAGGGTTAGGTTTATGTTTAGGGTTGGGGTTGATTAAAATAACGGGGATTGTGGGCCAAAATCTTTCCTTTCTTATAATATGATTTTAGAAAGAATTTAGTTTAGTACTCTGGTGTCGGTTTGTTTTCTGTAGTGTAGGTTTAGGTCAGTTGGTTTAGAAAGCCTGTAGTTGGACTTCTGCTGGCAGATCAGGCATTGTTTCTATCATGCCAGCAGACCTTGGGTAATGTCTGGCCAACCAGTGTATTCAGTTACTTATAGGCAGATATGATATATCTGTAATATTGACCACAATTTCATCTCAATATCCAATGTATACTGAGGCGAAAAAATAAGGGATCACATGAAAGCACAAGTGGTCCTTTATTTGTTTCCAGGTTTCTTCACAAGTTGTGCGATACAACGCTTGTGAAGAAACCTGGAACAAAATAAAGAAACACTTGTGCTTTAATGTGATCCCTTATTTTTTTTCCTTTAGTATATGATGACTAACATCTTTTAGCTCACAGCTGTAATTTTTCTATGAAATTGCCAGACTGAGGAAGCTGCCCCTTGGAACATGTGTTTCCCTTGTTAAAATGTCATACCGGGTATATTGTTCAAATCATTATGAGGTGAGGTGAGGTGAAATTGGGTTTAACGTCGTGCTAGAGAATATTTCGCTCATATGACGACGTGCATGCGTGTGTATGTGTATGTGCAGCTGCTTGTACTAGCCCAGACTTAAGCTGGCTTTATAGTGCTAGCCCACTGAGATACCATGCCGCAGTGAAGCATGAATACCCCACTCAGACACATTATACTGACTCCGAGCCGACCAGTCCTTGTTGTACCCATTAATGCCGAGCGCCAGGCAGGGACCAACAAGTACCATATTTTAACGTCTTTTGGTATGACACGGCCGGGGATCGAACCCCCGCGACCTTCCGCTCTCCGGGCGGACGCTGTAACCACTACACCACGGAGGCGGTTCAAATCATTATGATTTTACTGGGTTTTTTTGGTAACAAATGGGAACATTGTATGGCCTTTAACATTATGAACGATTAATATCCTTATGAGAATGTTCGCAGTTGAAACGCTGTGGAAAAAACATCTGTTTATTACAACAATGCCCTACAACAGGGCCCTAATATGTTTATTCTTGCAGGTTTAGAATGGTTATGGAATTTTCAAGACCATTTGATTCTGGCGTCCAAAGTTTAAACATTTCTATGGGAGGAGTAGCAAGATGTATTGGTATCATTAGAATTCTTGGAAACTTGGAATCTCTAGGAGTGTTCCAAGGTAACCATTGTATTTTGACTAGGTCAAAGGTCAAGGTTGCAGCAATCAATTTGTGGCTATTCTCGCTTCAAGTTTAATTTATTATCTGGTATCATTCGTCACTGCTAAATACAGCACCATGTATTGTATCAAAAACCTCACTGATGCTACATTCTTAAAAAAGAAGTTTCGGGTTGGCAAATGTTTTGACACATACGATTTTGGGCTCTTCCATGGTCAGTTGCCATACCCACCTTCTTTGGATGGAGACTTATTGATGAAAGTTTCTATCACCTTCTTGAAAGACTGCCCCACAAGAAATGAGTCACTTGTCCCATTTGTACTGTGCTGATTCTTAGTGCACAAGAGGTAGCCTATTGGTTAAAGCGTTCACTCGTCACAACAAAGACCCATGTTTGATTCCCCACATGGGTACATTGTGTGGAGCCTATTTTTGGTGTTTCCCACTGGAATATTGATAAAAGTGACATAAATCTAAATACACTCTTTTACTCTCTCACTCAGTGCACAATTTCAAGAAAGTGCCAGTGCCTGTGACATGGTGTGAAGTGAATTAGTGAATGTAATTTAGGGTCAATCTGTTAAAACATCAAACCATGGCTCCAAAGTAAAACATGGAATGCCTTAGTAGATAGTCATAGATAAAAAATGTTGTTCATATGAACTAGAAGTATGTTTTAGTTTCAATTTTTCAGGTTTAAAATTTGGATTTCTTTTCCGTCAATGTTCATTTTTACTGATGTTATTTCTCTTATCATAGTAAGGGACCTTTCATAATTTATGGCTGGGGGGTGGGTGGGTGTGTGTGTGTGGAGGGGGTGATGATAATTTTAAGGGCGGATCACCCATTTTGTTCTGGGGAGGTAGGGCGGTCATCAATTTTGTACTCAAAAATATTTGAAAATTATGCGTGAAAAATATCTGAAGGGGAGGGGGGTCATTGATTTTGTACATGACAAGTAGAGGGGTCACTTACTTTGTACATAGATTTTAGTGGGGGGCAGTCACATTGTACATGCTTCTCCATAAAAATCATCATCACCCCCCCAAGCCATAAATTATGAACGGTCCCTAAATCCATTATTTGGATGGTATGTCAGGATATCATATCGCAAGGTCATGAACAGACTGTCATCACCATACTTTTAAAAGACAATGTTGTTAATGATACAAGTTATAATGGTATGCTGTATGTAGCACTTAACTGCTTATGAAAGTATCAAGCATGTTTGTGTTGGAACATGACCTTGACCTTTGAATTTAATTTTTCAGAAACCTCACTGACTCTACCCTCTGAAAAAATAAATTTCCGGATGGGCATTGACAGACATAAACATTTTGGGGGGTCTCCAACAAAATCTTGCTAAAGCTCCAATAGATTGATCTGTTTATTTGTGCAAGCTAGCTGCAGATGACCGCTGGCCTATTATCTAATTGTTTCATATTTGTTTATACTTCTGTCCTATAATGTAACAGCAATGATTACAGCAACTTGTGTTTTACATATTTGGCAAGTGCCATGGTGATTACAAGATTGACAAATGAATGGAATGCTTATCAAAGTCATACAAAATTCAAATTTGTTGTCAGGAATATAGCAGGAGAGAACAAACATGGTTCAGACTTTGATGATTATATTCATATGGACATTATATGCCCTTTATTCACTGCTTTGTTTTCTGTGAAGAAGTGAGGAAATTGGCATCATGATAATATTTGGCATTGTATGGAGTTGGTTGGAGGAACTTGTAAAGTTTCCTCTCAGTTTATCAAAGGGCTCGTACTTGAACGACCGCTTTAATACAATATTGAATGTTGTAGAAGTTTTGAATATGATGTAAGTAAAGGTCTCATCTTATAATTCCTATACTGTGTTGTTGTCTTTCCAAACTTGGGGTAGCCTAGTGGTTAAAGCATCCACTTGTCACGCCGAAGACCCTGGTTCGATTCCCCACATGGGTACAATGTGTGGAGCCCATTTCTGGTGTCCCCTGCCATGATATTGCTGGAATATTGCTAGAAGCAGTGTAAAACCATACTCACTCACTCCAACCTTTTGCCCATCCATACTTATTCATATAATTTAAGACTTGCGAAAGCATCTCACATTATGACATGGGTGGCCCCAGTCATCAGGCTCTGCAAGTTGCTGTGCAGAATTTCTACAAATTTTTACCAATCCTGTACCACTTTGATATCATTGCTTTAAATCCTGTATTTTTGCTGCAATTACACAAAGCTTAAGTCTACTTCACTGTCAACTACATTCAACTACTTGCTAAGTCCCACCAATAGGCATCCAGCTCTTCAGCTCACAGTGGCAGTAAAAACCACACTTCTTTCATGTGTGTGCTGGAGTCACCATCAGCTAAGTCAAGTCTGAAAAAGATCACTAGATAATGAAAATTCAGGTATTGGTTGATATTGTTTAACTTATTCAACACATGAGAACCCTGATCCAACTTGCTGAGAATGTTGAAGCACTCTCCAGGTTGAGAAGGTCCAAGATATCTACTTCATGACAACCCATGACAAACGCTTAGTCTCTGAATATATATAATTTTGATAGTAACAAATACACTATTAAAATTGAAAAGGAGCCCCGGTCAGATGGGAAATTCAGAACCTGAGGGAATCTAGACTTGCTTCATTTAGGGCTTTAGCATTGCAGGGAGGGCTAGACAGCAGGGGAAAATAATGTGGTTCAGGGACTGTGAGACAGACTAAACTCTGGGCAGAAGATAGAAATGGAATCACTGTATTCTTGTCTAATAACCAAATACACTGAGGTGGCATTATAGGAACAACACTGTCTGAAACAGGCTGAGAAGGATCCCCAGGCCCAGATGCTATGTAGGGACAGAACTTCCTTCTCTGTGGACATCATAAGCAGCTCCCATAAACCTCATTTCACAAGGTATTAGTCTTACTGCCTCCACTATCCTTTACCCATACTCGGACAAAGGAGCCAAATATTCCACCCTGAAGGAACCAGTCTATTAGCTGCGGATTTAGTCATTGGGAATCTACTACAAAAGAGTGAATGAGTTTAGTTTTACGCAGCACTCAGTAATATTCCAGCTATATGGCGGCAGCATGACGACAAGCATGGGTTACTGAAGATCAGTTCACCTGATCTTCACGGGTATACTACAAAAGAAGGTCATAAGGAACTTTAAGTGACAGATGTCAGCAAAAGATTTTACCTTGCTGTGTCCAGTTTTCTCAAGAACTCAGTATCAACACTCAAGCTCTAGATGGAATCAGTACAGAAGTTGCGTTTTAGCCCCGGGAGACTGCATTATCAGTTTTAGTCCTGCAGTATGCAGATCTTTGTTTTTTACATCAACGGAAGAAGGTGTGAATTTCAAGTCTTCCATTTGGGACCTATAGTATCTTCACAGAGTCACTACTCCTTATATTAACTTTGCCCATCCTCAACTAATCCATCTGCAAAACTACTACAGCCAGGTGTGCGAGTTGCAGGTATGAAATTGAAATTTCACTACAGACGCCTGTTGATTGCCTGGCTGTTCTACCAGCAAGTGATCCCCCATCCTACAAAATAGCGGTAAGCGACAACAAAATAATCATCGTTTGTTAAACAAATTTTGTATTCGTGTGTCCAAAGTTAAGATACAAATCATCAGAGTTGGTCTGTCGATTTCACGTGACTGTGCAAAATTTGATTTTGTTGCAATTATTAGATTTTGTGTTAGTGAGCAATTCATCGGTCTCAAATGAAATCAATCGGACTATAATTTAAACGTGGCATTTGATATTGCAACGTCACCTTTCAGAATACATTATATCATCTCGGTTGGATTTAGGTTACAATAATATGGTGATAGCCGCAACCTTTCATGACCTTTACTCTTAATGTAAGTGTCTACTTTGTATACGGGGTCTTGTTTGTGGGTTTGGATGATTTCGTACAGCTGAGGCTTCGTCACTTTCAACTGATACGGGATGTTGAAGCCAAGCAATCATATCGCCCTTACGATTGTTAGACGTCAGAGTTTTGCTGTTCGGATCCAGCAGGCTGTGGCATGGCGCATTGTCCATGACTATAAGGGACTTATTTAGCAAAGCTGGAACTAACTTATTTTGAACCCACTCGAAGAAAACGCCTCCATTCATCTCTGTATGGTAGTCCCTATTGTCTTTGGCCGTGGCTCTGAACACCAGATCACAACCAGGCAGGAAGCCCTGGCTGGTGCATCCAGCATGGAGAATAATCAATCTTTCCCTCTTCCCCAGCGGCAGTTTCCTCCGTGATCCCTTATTTCCATCGGGTACCCATTGACTGCTGGCGATATGAGACGCATTTACCCAAGTGTCGTCAAGATACACCAGCTCATACCCCGCATCACGGTTTTGTCTGGATAGTCCTGAGAAAATGATTTCTGAAACGAACGATATCTGATCGTTCTCACAATACTCTCCTGTTCTCTCCTGCTATTTTTGGTACCTATACCCGAAAGAATGTAAGAGTCGCCATAGTATGTATTTCGTTACTGACAAATTGTCTTGGTTTTCAAGGTGTTTAGTTTAGTGATTGCCTGTCTGGCCTGGTTCTAATTATTAACCTTTGATGCCATTGACATCTCCCACACACACACACACACACATGTGTTGTGTCGACAACAGTGTCTCTCTTCTGTATTATATGTTTCAGTGCCCGTGTAAAAACTCACAATGCCTTGGAAGCACTTTTCATATACCTATCGATGGCATAAAATGGCCTCCGGTTTCCGCCTCAGCGCGAAAAAACTCATACACTTTAATTTTAATTATCAACTTTTTTGCTTGTACAGTGAACTTCATTTCGTCATCAGCACACAACAGTTATCACGAAATGCATGTGCATCAGATGCACCTGTCCATTCCTGTTGCTGCTGTGTGCCCGTCTGTGCCAACTGCCAACAATCATGTTTATAATGATGATAGTTTGTCAAACAACTTTTTCTGTGATGCATGACAATTTCTAATAGATGTAAAGGTGTTTGGGTATAGGTTATTCATGAACATCTTGCCTCGTAATATTTATTAACTACCTTTCTAAACTGATATATTTAGCAATACTTGGGGGACACCTTCTATAGTCAAACAGACGGTAATCTTTAACAAGCATGGAGGAAAGTATTATTTAACCTGTAATGCAAATTGTCCGATTAAAAACTAGATAGGTGATACAAATTGAGCATAAAACACATTTAAGGCTTAAATACGAAGCTCCATTCACTTCCTTTAAGTTGTAGGTATTATTTCCACAACAAACTGAAATATTGATCAAATGGTTCCCATTACCTTGAAAACAAATTCAAAGTCACGATGATTAAATCAGGGTCTAAAAACACCCCTAAGACATCTCAGCACCAGATCCATAGAGAAGTGAAAGAGCTTTAGGATGGACGGGCAGACGGAGCCTACTATACTAATTTGTCCACTTCGCACACTTTCAAAAAAGCAGGGGTGAAGTCACTGTAACAAACAGCCTTCTTAAATTCTTTAATCCTTGTGCAAATATAGAAAAAGAGTGTAAACTTCAAGACAGTTTCATATATGCATTAACAGCTTTCAATGACACGCATTATGTATATACACCATACATAGTTATTAAAAGTTGGTTTATAGAGAATCTTACCCAAGTGTCTACTGATATCAATTATATCAACAGGAGTTGATAAAGTTACAAATATCCGAGGCTTGCCGAGGCTATTTTTACCTTTATCAACGAGTCTTGATATAATTGATATCAGTAGACACGAGGGTGAGATTCTATTTATCATCAAAAATCATTCTTCATTACTTTTCAATGAAAAATGTACATCTCTCAACACTGTACTACCATTAGACTTGCAGTGCAGTGGTGTCATAGCATTGTGACGTCATCAAGTTGATGACGTCATAGCATTGTCAAGGCATTGTACAAAATCTACTGTCAAAACGATATCTCCTTGGGGGTAACATATGATCTCACACAAGCGATATCTCCTGTGGAACATTGTTTTGGATGATAAAATTCAAATTACACAAGGAAATATTGAACCCACAATGCAAGTTTATGTCTCCCAAATTAACTGAAGATAACTCTATGTCGAACCGGCACACAATCATACAGATGGAAATTAGAGGAAAACAATTTACAGTATTGAAGACTGATGTCTTTGTTCTACTTTCTGGCGACGGTGCTTACACAGATATCCGAATGTTAACAATACGTCACCATTCTGAGGGGACTGAGCATTAGATCGCTTCATCTAACGTTCTGAGTGATGGGATAACTTAGTGGTTAAGCATTCGCCCGTCACGCTGAGGACCCGGGTTCGATTTCCCACATGTATGTTCATTGTCGTCATATTGCTAGAATATTGCTAAAAGCGGCGTAAAACCATACCCACTCTTCTAACGTTCTCACAGACCTCTGCCATATAGTTGGAATATTACTGAGTGTGGCGTAAAACTAAACTCACTCACTCTACAGTAATGTTCTCATGAATAACCGCCTTCGTGGTGTAGTGGTTAGAGCGTCCGCCCGGAGAGCGGAAGGTCGCGGGTTCGATCCCCGACCGCGTCATACCAAAAAGACGTTAAAATATGGTACTTGTTGGTCCCTGCCTGGTGCTCGGCATTAATGGGTACAACAAGGACTGGTCGGCTCGGAGTCAGTATAATGTGTCTGGGTGGGATATTCATGCTTTTCTGAGGCATGGTATCTCAGTGGGCTAGCACTATAAAACCAGCTTCAGTCTGGGCTAGTACAAGCAGCCGCACATACACATACACACGCATGCACGTCGTCACATGAGCGAAATATTCTCAAGCACGACGTAAACCCCAATTCCACCTCCACCTCCACCTCAGGAATAGATACCTACACACGCCTGTGGCCAAGGGTTAGGACCAAGCAACAATTACGCAATAAAACGGATATAATACCATGTTGGTTTCATTCATATTTTTCCCACTTAAAGACAAAAGTTTGTAAATGGTCATTTTGGGGGGTTTGAACTTGCATTTAAAGCAACCGCCGACTGCAAAAACTATGGACATTGAGGATGATAGAGTGGTGTCCCTTTGAACTCGTCATTACTCGCACAAATCCGGAACACCAGACGACACAATACGAGGTTGTCAACATGTCTGTTTTCGACGCAATGTTTGGAAATGAACTGATTACTGGGTAAGAGTTCCTCCCGTTCCCCAATCCCAAATAATATGTATAAATATTATAGAATAATAAACAAAACTTAACACAACAATTACTAAAGAACTCACAAAATGATTAAAAGTCCAAAATTTAAGTTAGGGCTAGGTTTAGGGTTAGGTTTAGAGTTTGGTTTAGAATTGGGGGAACGGAAGGAACTCTTTCCCAAATATTGGACACTTGGACACATCAGTCTTTTACACAAGCTTGCCATTGTTTCACAGCTGCGAGGGCATCCTCGATAATCTCCAGGGTATACCGTTGTGATAAATCTCCAGCTAGTACCCTGGATGCATCTATGGCTCATGTGACAGCTGTGATTGGATGAAATGATAAGAATGTTTTTATTCCACCTCCCAATTTTAAGTATTTGCTGGATTTCCATCACCATGACTTATGCATTCTCACAGTATCCAATCAGTTATGGTAGTTTAAAGGCCAGAGTGTACCCAACATGGAATGGCTGTTGATAGCCTTGCCATTGTCAAAACATTTGGTGTTGTGTAAAGATCGAGCAGTCACAGCTTTACATGATTTCCTGTGTTTATTTCACCATGGAAACATGTTAGCATTAATGTAGAGGCAAATTTAAAAGGTACTGGGAGTAAAGATAGGGCTGTTTGGAGTGGAATAGATTGTTTTAGTGTCCAGAATATGAGCGTTGCCCCGTTTTTGTGGTCGAACAGTGGAAAAGACCCTCCACGGTGAGTCTTACCATCAAGTAGTGGTTCCCTGGCTTCTAAATTTGTTGGAACTGATGAATTTGACAACAAATTAGGTTAAAATCACCACTGCCACAACAATGTGAGTGTCTAAGTTCATCTCCTGAGGGTCAATTTGAAGTCAAATGATAAGAATATCATGAAATTTGTTCACTGCTGACAGCAGAACATGTCACAAACCCTTGTTTTAAATGCAAACAGTGTAGCATATGATCAATTCTTTCTGCCTGTCCCCTTTTGAATATGCACATGCGACCTAATTTTCTTTTCCTTTTTTAAAAATACCCCTTTATATAGGACTTTCAAAATGAATTTCTGTCTTTATTAACAACTGTCTCATTGCTGTTATAGATTTTATGATTTGACATTTAATGTAATCTCAACACTATTTTCAGCTTAGATGCCTGTTGGTGAATGGGGAGGTGTATCTTCACAAATACAGCAGAAAAAAAGCCTTCACATCCAATGTGGTATTTCGACATGCGGCGAGAAGTCTGTTGTTTAGTGTCTAATCAAGCATACTCCCTTTGCTTCGATATGCTTCACCGCCTTGTAGAAGTTGCAGTACTTGGACATGTAGGTACATATAGTACATTTAAGTGTCCCAGTCCAGTTAAGGCACCAAAATGTCTCACTACCAAATTCCATCACTCGGTCATCCTCATACATTAGAAATTTCTGACAGTGTCCCCTTAATGCCTCAGTGTGTAGTATTTCAGCTTCCCAGACATGAAATAAGGGCTGTACATCAATCCCAGAAGCTGCTTAGATGTAAATAATAACAACTGACCCTTGTGGAATGTAATATTATGGGTCTGAATTCACATTTTATAGTAACCCATAAATTACTGCAGAGAAGCTCTGTTTTTAGCTGATATTGTCAAATACTGTTAATTGTAATTAAAAATATTCAGTTTAGGGCAGGGTAACCAATAAATTTCCAAAGTTATGTGGATTTTTTCACTTTGTTCCCTCTAAACTGGCTTATACATGAAATTGGCAAGTGTAACAGCCTCAAAACAATACACAGTCAATAGTTTTGAATTTCTGGAAGTATTTCAAAGTCTTAGCTTGATGAATCAATGATCAAATGTAAGATCAAAAAGATTTCATCTCAGCCTTGATGGACTAACAGGCTGACAGGGTACTGTGGTCAGTGTTTCAGACTGCTAGGCATAATCCAACCCCTCACTTATTACATTCTGGCAAAGTTCATCATCCAGTACAATCAGGATGTTAAAGCTGCTTAATGTTAAACCTGTCCAATTTCTGGCCTGAATTCAATGAGTTCAAAATATAGTTTGGATTGATATGATCAAGGCAGTCCCAGTCATGATGCATTGCCCCCTTTTTTGTGAAATAAGAGGGTATAGTGCAGAGAGCTTTGGTGAAATAGACATGATATAACTCTTACAGCTCTGTCAGTGCAGCAAATCCATATATTCTTGTGCCATATAGATATGTTGGACAGGAAAAAGTATTGAAGCTTCATGCCTGAGAAGTTGAGATTATCAGATTTGCCTAGCAAATGATATACTACACTAAATGAGAATGGCTTGCTCACTGAGCCGAGATCGTGTAAACAAATGAAGAGGATGACAGCTGTGATTGATGAGTGAAAGTGACAATAAAATCAATTTTAAGTATTCAGTGCTGTGATTTCCATCACCATGTTGAACCCTACACACCACTATTGTACATTATCCATTTCATGGAAAGACAATCTATGGGAAAACATTTGGTGTTGTGTAACCTGTAGGGTATAGTGGAGATTTAGCATGTCGAGGATGCACAACACATGACAATACTGGACTTCAACCACTATTGTACATATCCATTTCATTTGATGAAAGTCAAGCGTTTGATGAAAGTGAAGGTTCCAAAGCATGCAAGTTGTTCATATTGGGATGATTCCCTCCGGATGTTTTTGTGTCTAAGAGTAAATGGCGACTAACAGGATCAGGTGGTCCGGCTTGCTGACTTAGTTGGCACATGTCATCGCATTGATCAATGTTCATGCTGTTGATCACTTGATTGTCTGATCCAGATTTGATTATTTACAGACCGCCGCCATAGCTGGAATATTGCTGAGTGTGGCGTTAAACAATTATCATCTAATCAATCTGAAACATTACTTTAGAGATTTTCTATTTGATTTGTTACTGTTCTTCACTTGACGTGTATTCCCATAATGTCTTGCCTAACAGCACCAGCATGTAGTCTCTGGGAGACAATGGATCAGTCTTCAATCCTCTCCTTCAGATGCATGGTGTTGGGGCCTTTGTCCTTGACAAAGCCAATAGTGCACTATTTGTATTGACAAGTATTCTACAGTGGCATTGTATAAACCTGGGCCTCATTCAACAAAACGATCGTAGTGCTAAGACGATCGTAACACCCATACTTTAACATAGACGTACGACAGTCATAGCGCTGCGATCGCCTCCTGGGGCTCCTTTCACGAAGCAACCTTTCCTAAGGTGAGCCTTAACTCCCATTCTTTAACATTGCACTAAGGTTACCTTAGTGACTTACGATCACCTTAGTGCTTTGTGAAAGGAGGCCCAGGAACGTGGCCCAGCCTCACTGCTTTATACTTTGTGAGAGCATAAGCATTGGTTCATCAAGAAGTCCATTTCCTGCAGATCATCCATTATGGAAGTTTCTTGTCCAATGTCCCATGTGCTGGTGTCTTTGACTTCTGATGTCGATGATGTAGATCAGGCATTTCAATGTACAAATGTTGTGTTCTGTAATTTGAGATTGTAATATGTAATAGGAACAGAAAAAAAACTTGAAAATAGTGGTGCATGTCTACATGTGCACAAAATGTTCTGACCTGAATAACAATTAACATAGTTTTCTTGTGGGGGTGTCACTGTAGGCTAAGAAATTAAATCATTTTCACTTTCCAAAGTAATTATCTGTTACAGAGTTGCCGTCTGCCTAATAGCAGCAAGGGTCATACTGCATGTTCTCCCAGTTCTACTTAATACCTTGGTATAGGGAACTTTTTTAGTCTACTGTTATAATTTTGGTAGGTTTTCAGGTGAACCTGTATGGCACTGGCTGATATGGTGTGACTGGTGAAGGCATATAAATGTATCGGTGGGTTCAGTTGAGTTACGTCAAGATCAGCATGATCACGGAATAGAAATCAGAAATCAATTTTCCTTTTCAGATTTGTGTCAGTGTGACCACTGTAGCCTGTTCCTATGAAGAAGCCTGCAGATGGTTGTTGAAAGAAGGTACTTTGGTACTTGTTATCGTGCACATGCCTGACTAGATCATGGAACAGGAAGAATTACAGATTAGTGACCTTGACCCCAAACCTGACCTTGATACTGAATGTGAAACAACGAGTGATGTTGACAAGCCTGATGAGGATGAAGGAAGAGGGAAGCCATATCAGTGTGGTGAATGTGGGAGAGTTTTTAAACATTCAAGTAGCCTGCAGGCACACATGAGATCTCACAGTGGTGTCAAGCCATACGAATGTGGGGAGTGTGGGAAAGCATTTACAATATCAAGCGACCTGCAGAGGCACATGAGAAGTCACACCGGAGTTCGGCCATATCAGTGTAATGAGTGCGGGAAGGCATTCGCAACATCAAGTCAACTAACTACACACACAAGATCTCACAGTGGCATCAGACCTTATGAATGTACAGAGTGTGGAAGAGCATTTACACGATCAGGCCATTTGCAGAGGCACAGGAGCTGTCACAGTGATGTAAAGCCTTACGAATGTAACCAGTGTGAGAAAACATTTGCACGAACGTGTGACCTGCAGAGACACATGAAGTGTCACAGTGACCTCAAACCGTATGCTTGCAAGGAGTGTGGTAAAGCATTTGCCCGATCAGGTTACCTGTTGATACACATGAAATATCATAGCGGAGTCAAGCCATATCAGTGTGGTCAGTGTGGTAAAACCTTTACAGAAACAGGCAACCTCAGACTACACATGAAATATCACAGTGGAGTCAAGCCGCATCAGTGTAGTGAGTGTGGGAAAGCGTTTACGCGATCTGTTGAGCTGCAAAGACATATGAAGAGTCACTGTAATATTCCGACTTACAACTGTAGTGAGTGTGAGATGGTATTCACACGATCGGCTGAACTGCAGAAACACATGACTTCGCACAGAGGTGTCAGGCCATACGAGTGTAGTGAGTGTGGGAAAGCATTCGCCCATTCAAGTACCCTGCAAAGCCACATGATCTGTCACAGTGAAGTTCAGCCTTATAAATGTAGCAGTATAGTTAGTCAAACACTTTTGAACCTTCTAGGCAATCGGGCATGTAAAAAATAATGCCAAAACTGAGGTGAGTGAGTTTATATTTACGCCACCGTTAGCAATATTCCAGCAATATCACGGCGGGGACACCAGAAATGGGCTTCACACATTATACCCACATGGGGAATCGAACCTTGGGCTTCGGCCCATCAATTAAAGGTCCGAAATCTTGGTGCCAATCTTTCCAGATTTGCAGGAATTTTGTGAGTGAGTGAGTTTAGTTTTACGCCACTGTTAGCAATATTCCAGCAATATCACGGCAGGGGACACCAGAAATGGGCTTCACACATTGTAACATGTGGGGACTCAAATCTGGGTTGTTGGCGTGACAAGCAAGCTCTTCAACCACTTGGCTACCCACCGTCAGCCATTGAGGTAATACCAGTTTATTTCTTAGGCTGTAGCTACCTCAGAACTTTCTTAGAGAAAGAAATACAAGATATGAATTGAAACATATTGTATTGCAAACTTAACTTGCAATATGATATTTATCAGAGTACTGAATTTATACATTTACGGAAACCATGATCCCTGACAAAAGGTGTTGCTATTATCTGGTTTTTACATGACTTTGGATTTAGGTTAATTTAAATGGCATATATTGTAAATGTGGAAAGTTTTGCTAGCAGGAAATTGCTGTGAACTTGCGATGATTTCATGACATTTTTTCCAACTGAATTAGTATCATGGAAAATAACACAAAGTAACTTTGGTCCTTAAAAATCTCATCACCAGTTCATTGCAAATGTTCTCAATGCAGTTAAGGCTACTGATAATAATTTCTAGGTGCCAATCTTTCCAGATTTGCAGGAATTTTGTGAGTGAGTGAGTTTAGATTTACGCCACTGTTAGCAATATTCCAGCAATATCAGGCAACCTCAGGCTTGGTCGTTTAGTCACTGCGATCAATCTTCAATTATTTCAATTAATCGGATCACCACTACTGTAGAATGCGGCGTAGAACTAAACTCACTCACTCTGATGTTTTACAGTGAATGTAGCCTCAGATGTGGCAAGTAAGTAACCGGTAGATTTGTATTTGAAGCATGGTATTAAATCCTTTTCTCCATGTTGTATGACCTATATGCGTTAGCAAGGTTTTCTGTCAAGTTTTCTGTCATACATACTCAGCAATTTATTCCTTGAAATGAGATTTCCACTGTCATTTAATATGCCTTTAAGTATGTGGCACAATTTTGTTTGCCAAATTATTTGTAAAAAAATTGTAGCATTTGTACAAGATGCTGACATGGCCACAGTAAGGGTATAGTTAATATATTCATTGATATTTTTGATGGACAGAAATCATGATTATGAGTCTTACCATGTTAGCCATGTGAACGATGTTGCAAATCTCTTCCCATCACCTTGTCAACAAGTGACAGACCATATACATGATAAGTTGAAAGAACTCTAATCATGCAGACCCGTAAATATCCGGGTTTGAATTGGTCTTCAGCAACCCATGTTTGTCGCAAGAGGCAACTAGTGGGTTTGGGCAATCAGGCTCGCTAACATGGATGACACATGTCACCGTATCCCAATTGTATAGATCGATGCTCATGCTGTTGACCACTAGATTGTCTTTTTCAGGCTTGATTATTTACAGACTGTTGTCATATAGCTGGAATATTGCTGAATGTGGCGTTAAACTAGGAAGCTAAAGGTGATATGGTTATTGCAATGTGGGTGATATTATTTGACAATGGAAGAAGTTCACAAAATACAAACATCATGTTTTCCTACCATTTCCTGTTGTAATGATAATTCTTGTATGATTCCATTGGATTGGTCCAAAGAGAGCCTTAAGATGTTCACCTTAATTACATTATCAGTCTGAAAATATACATTACAATCCAGTGTTGTTACAGAATACAGTGTTTCATAAATTATTATGGGATCAGTAAGTCAAATTTCCAGAGAAAGCCTTAAGGGACCCATGAAGATCCGGGGTAGAATAGGTCTTCAGCAACCAAATGCTTGCCACAAAAGGAGACTATGCTTGTTGTAAGAGGCGACTAACGGGATCAGGTGGTCAAGCTCGCTGACTTGGTTGACACATGTCATTGGTTCCCAATTGCGCAGATCGATGCTCATGCTGTTGATCACTGGATTGTCTGGCCAGACTGAATTGTTTACAGACCACCGCCATATAGCTGGAATATTGCTGAGTGCGGCGTAAAACTAAACTCACTCTTGAGAAAGGCTGCAAATAAATGTAGTCCTGGTCATCCTTGCAATATTTACCAGGTTTGGCTCCTCATGTGGCAGTTGCTGGATTTAATGTAGCATCTCAAAACATAACACGACGAACAATTCACAACATCAGTGTGATGTGTTTGTTCATATGCAAAATCCCAAAAGATTACATACTATCATTCATAGACTTTCTCGTTAGGGTTGCAACAAAAAACACTATGAGGCAAATACGATGTTTTCCGAATATATAGTAACGAACACGAAAACGTGCCATGTTATTGCTTAAGTTGAAACATTTAAATGATATTTTCTGTAAAGCTAAATAAGGCAATACATTGTAAACAATGATGCTTATAGCCTAACAAATGTGCAGTAAAGGGCCTTCCATTTTGTGTATCTTACTTAGATTGGGGTGGTGGAGTAGCCTAGTGGTTAAAGCGTTCGCTTGTCATGCTGAAGACCCGGGTTTCGATTCCTCACATGGGTACAATGTGTGAAGCCCATTTATGGCGTCCACCTGCCATGAAAGCAGCGTAAAACCATACTTACTCAGACACTCGCTCACTTTTACTTAGATAAAAAACAAACTAGTTCCAAGTAAAAACACTCCCTTAAAAATATTCATATGTATTAGATTGTAGTGACCATGAATAATGAATTGAATTCATGAAGAGATTCAGTTTGTTTCAACAAATATGCCAGTGAATTGTAACAGAACTACTCGTCATACAATATATAATATGGAAAACACATATAATATCTCAACATGCAGGGAACATATTTTCCAGAAGAGATTCTGATTGCGTTACTGGCCTCGACCATTGTTCTACAATATACACCATATGTTGTTCTGGGCCTACTTGCACAAAGCGATCTTAGAGCTGCAATGATTGTAACTCCCATTCTCCAACATGGGCTTAAGATAGTCGTAGCGCTAAGATCGTTTTGTGCAAGTAGGCCATGTATTAAACCTTTGTTCCTGTACACCTGTCATTGTATACTATATGGTACATACAGCTTTATTAATATTGTAACTCGATGAGCATGATAATAAAACAAAGAAATGCAGATATGTTTGTTGTTTTCATGATTGTCCATTTTACTAACCAAGCTTTGATTTCAGATTTGAGAGATTACATAATTTCCAGATATATTTTAGATCATCAAATTAGATGAATCAATATCTGAGTTTTTGGTTTGTTGCTTAATGCCACTTTCTGCAGTATTCCAGCTATACGGCAGCAGTTTGTAAATAATTTAGTCTGGACCAGACAATCCAGTGATGAACAGCAGGAGCAATGGTCTAAACAGTAACAATGATATGTGTCAACCAAGTCGGCGAGTATGACCACCCGATCCTGTTAGTCACCTCTCATAACAAGCCCTGATTGGACTGAAAACCAGTTAAAAGTGGCATTGAGCCTGACTGGAGTTTATTCATAAAGGCAAACATAGCTGAAAATTGACTTATTTTGTAGTGCTGATAACGATGGTCATATGTTAACAAGTGCGGCCATTTTCAAGATTCTGGCATACAATCCTCAAGAAATCACGTAAGTATCACTAACTGAGTGAAATGTCTGGTGTAACCTCCACTAACTACAATAACATCCCTGGCAGTCCTCCTCATTAACTGTATCAGATGTTGAATTTAACATTGATGCATTGGGTTCATTCTTGATGGAAGGCTTGTTCCAATAGATCAAGATTTTATACTGGAGGACTTATGTTGTATTCTGCAACCTATAATGTTTATGTAACTGCTCCAAGATATTCTGTCAGCTTTGATGACAACATACCCTTTGATAGGTCATCTGGCTCTGTACCTGGCCTATTTTAGGTGATTTCAGACTGTTCTGTTGGACAAACGATGATGTGGAATCCACTGTTTTAACACACTACTTGACATGAATTGATGAAACCGATGAAATCTTGTGTTGATAATGAAATCAATGTATGGTTAACAATCATAGGTGTTGTGATACTTTTTTTCCAAGTGTATAGCCACTGTTGTCAAATGGATACAACGTTTGCCTGTAAAGCAGCAGGTCAGTGGTTCAGTTTCCAGCCACATAGTGAGTGAGTTTAGTTTTACGTCGCTTTTAGCAATATGACTGCGTGGGACACCAGAAATGCACTTCACACATTGTACCCATGTGAGGAATCGAACTTGAGTCTTCGGTGTGACGAACCCCAACAGAAGGTAATTACCAGTAAGAGAGCACTTGTTACCATGAATGGGCTTGCAGGGCTCGATTTAGTGCTTTGTTACTTGCACTGATGCTAGCCAATATTACAAAGTGCAACGTAGTTATTATTCTAACTTGCACCAGGTACAGGTCAGTTTTTGAGTGGGTAAACTAAATAACTCAATAGCATGTTTCTTTCATTACATTTCTTTCATTTCTCCATAAAATCAGTGCAACTGGAATTTGGCTGGTGCAACTAGGTGTTTATCTTAGGTTGCACCTGGTGCAAGTAGGTTAACATCTCTTAAATCGAGCCCTGGCTTGGGATTATGCATACAGAACAAGGGCAGGCAACACTAGTGGGCGATAATGGACGAAAAAACAAACCCAATAAATATTGCAACAAATTTATTCCAAATGAACAAGTTGTCACACAGTGAGTCATGATGAAGCATGAGATACACAACAATCTGTTACTCAACACATTTCTTCTAAGACAACCCTTTCATTTGACGATCACAGATTTCTTCCGAAAAAATCTCTCTTTGGAGGCATAATAGATTACTCTTATTCAGTTTCTACCTCCAATTACAGATATTTCCAGATGAAAATGCTAAAAATGGGCACAAAAGTAACAGGTGCATAAAAAACTGGGTTTACCATGTTAAATAGAGGAAAACAGAAAAAATAATAAATCCAAATTGGTACATTCGATTCCACAAGAATTAATGGCAATTTGTAATCCATTGCACAGACAGTTTAAGAGCATTCTATCTTCTGCTTGCTTATGTTATTCTTCCTTATTTTGTCATTTTAAAAAAGTTCTGATTTTTGTGTATCTAAACATCAGTGAACAGGAATATGACTTTACTTATATCCTATACGAAGACCAAAATATCAACAACAAACACATTTTGATGAATTCGGAAAACAGATCTCATTTCTCACAAAGTACAAATTAATTTTTTCATCCTTAAACTATTACTATTACTTACTTGCAAGATAAAAATGGCCAGTTTTTGCTTATAGATATATATTTATTTCTTGCTTACAACCTCGTAAATGTCATTTCTTGCAGAATTCATACAGCATTAAAACTTTGTAAGGTAACCAAATATCATGAAAAGAACTTACTCGCAATCATTTCAATAACTCCAGTCACAAAAAGATTCTTTGGCAAACATTTCTGCTTGCACTGCTAAAATATATCCTGAAATAATACAGGTACATGTTAAATAACCTTGACACCATATCCCTCCAAATGACAGTGTTCAGTTTTCAAACTTCCAATCATTTGCAGCCTAGTGTCAGTCTCACTCAAATCAGATCTTCTCTGTGATACAATACTTCTTTATGTCATGAGTGGTCTGCTCTCAACGGAAGATTTCTGGACTCTTCAGCTTCATGTCTTAACCAAATCAAAAGAAAGACAACCACACAACACTTACGCCTCTCAATAGTATAAACCTTTTGCTCAGGAACAGGAGGATGACTTATTCGAAGGAACATTCAGGAATAGGAAGATGACTTATTCGAAGGAACATATTAGCATGTCCTTCCTTATTTTGCACTTCAGTAGATTGTAATCCCTAAGTGTAATCCCTTTAGATCACTGAATATTTCCCCCTTACTCCTTGACCACTCAAGCTCCCAGTGAGAGAATGCAAAACTAGAATTATAAACGTTTAATATCCTATTGGACGAGCATATGGAGGTATATAGTGGTAGCCCAGAAGCGTCGTGCTATACACTAAAGAAGAAGTTGCCATCCATTTACTCTTCTTATACATTCACCAACTTCTAAATGCCTCTCAAGAAACTTAATATCCTGTTTTCTTGACTGCAGAGACAGTATTAGGAATGGACACGGTATGGATCTCAGTCATATCAGTTTAACATAACGTAATATTGCCCAAATGGATAAGGTGGAAGTGAGACACATTTGCATAAGACTTTCATAGGCTGCATGCAAGATTAATTTTCAGATTATTTGTGGGGGGCATACTGATCATGGTTCAGAAGCCCTGTATACTTCAAGTTAGTGAGTTAATATCCCAGCAGGATCAGACGGACTAGGCTCCACACATGGTACTATTCAGGGGAATGGAACCTGGGTCTTTGGCTTGATGAAAAATGGGGAAAATGAAATGGGGCTTAACACAGTGTGACCTGTGATAACCTACAATCAGTTTAAAACAGTTACTGTGAGACATGGGATGCAATGAATACCCTGAAAGCAGACCTGCAACAGCTGACTAGGATTAATAGCTCTACACCTCCCAGCATGCTGCAACTCACTCTTGCAATGTCACCCTAATATAGATATACTTTTAAACTTACATGTCAAATTGAACACTTTCTTAAGAAACCTGCAAAGCATGTAAGGTAAAATGGCTCTGAACACACTTTTCTCAAGAATCCCTTATCCTTGATAAGTTTAAGCAAAATGACTGAACACACTTCAACCGACTTATCTCATTTCATTCTGCGAGAGCTTGTTTTTATAGGCAGTGTTCAGTACTCTGGGGAAGATTAAAATGGGATGTACCTCAACTGAATTATTTACTAGCCTGAATAGACACACCCCTACAAAGCTTCAAATATTACCAAATGTACCAGATATTGGGCAGCCAACAGCTGATGGACCAACGCCATGTTGCATTCCTCCTGAAGTTACAATTCCGACAACACAACTTTTAATATTTTGGACCAGGGAAAGAATTAGGAGTAAAATTACCAAACTTAGATCAAACTTTTGACATTCAAATTAGAAAGAGCAAATGTTTAATGGATGTTTTTTTTGCTGTTGTAAATATTCATGTGAACTGCTTTGTTAAAAATTTCTCATTGTCACGTATTCACAGGAATGTCAGTGAAACTATTTGGCTCAATAAATTAGGGTGACTTGGGGAAACAGTAACAAAACAAATGTTTATACCTATCGATTCATATCAATCCATGTCATTTGAAAACAGACAATTCAAATATGACGAAAACAACTCTTGAAATATTAATACTTTAAACAAGCAATCTTACATTTTATTTGTAAATATATTAGTTTTTCATTTCATACTTTTAACTAGAATCACGACTGATGTCATGTTTCTACTGCAACATTATGCTGCATTGAGTGTTTAAAAGATGAATGTTGATTATGACCTTGTTCAGCATCAAGCTGAATCTATTGGCACAAATTCTCAAACATGTAAGCTACAATCCATTTGGAATTCAATCAGCATTGTAAAAAAACATGGTTAACAAATTTCATTTTGGTAAACATGCAGAAAACATGTTTTCACTGTGATGAATTAATTCACATGCTTCGGCAGGTACAAAAATCTAATTTGGCAGACTTCAAACTTAGCAAACTGTTGAACCAAAAGCACAAAGTGAATGGAACTTGTCATAAACGTGAACTAATGTCGGCTAGACCCTGCTTCCACAGAGGGGATGGATTCGGTACCCACTTTTGACAAGAGGATATCATGCATGTACGCAGCCTTCTGCTAGCTAACGATAACACACAGCGAGGGACGAAGGCACAGACTGGCCATGAAGAGGTCAGGTCAGGTCAGGTCAGATCGGGTCCGGCGACGGGTCGCCTTCTTATCGGGTGATGTGGCTCCCGACATGATGCAGAGATGAGATTTAGACCAGCTAAATCTTCCACTGATCACGTAATGTTACTCCATCTTTTGAAGGACATCACATCTTTGACAGGGACATTCGATGTATGTGCCTTGAGACACAAGTTCCTGTCGTCTGTCAGAAGTACTAATGTAATTTTCTGAGTAAAATTGATATTTTATACTTATCCTGACTCATGCTCTTTTGCTTGTCCCCTTCCTCTTGCGAACATAGTGGAACACTTGTATCTCCTTAATTGAAGCTCCCTTCAATGTAAAATCACTAATTGGTACTCACCCACGAGTTACCTCCCCTGCCGTCGCGGGAACAGGTGTCGCCACCCTCTGGCCTCATGCTTCACTCTCTCCTGATTTTGCGAGCCCAACACTTGAATTTACAGGGAAATCCAAAGTGTTATGTGGGGAGGATGGGAGGGCTAACCTCATGAGTCAGGATAAGTATAAAATATCAATTTTACTCAGAAAATTACATATTTTTCCTTATCCTGACTCATGCTCTTTTCTTGTAGAATCCACGGAGGTGGTGGGTAAACAGAATACTTTGGATTAATTAGTGATTTAAGTAAGTGATATTGTAATAACCCCTGCGGGAACTTCATAAGGCATTGAGACTTAGGATATTTCCTTATAATAAGCCATAGATATATACACTATAAGTGGGGTATTACCTTACTAATATACTGATATATCAATATATATATATAAACTGCTACTCTAACGTAGCTGTACACTGAATATAACTCAGTATGAGCTTAAGGTTGAATAACCTAAGCTAAATATGTACATAGCCCTAGAACTCCATGGGTTATAAGCTAGTGAATATATGTATCATATATCTAATAATCGTCGTGGGGGTGAATATTAGCCCTCTGAGGGACTGTCAATTGCTGGCGAGGACCAAAGGACCCGAAATGATGAATGCCAGAGGCGTCCTCGGTGGTGATATCTCTGAGATAGTGATTAGCAAACACCATGTTAGATTTCCAAAAGCATCCTTCCATAATTGTATTCAATGAACAGTTACCATGAAGAGGGTGGATGCCAATGCCCTGATTTCATGAGGATTTGATGCTGTTGGAGGGTCCAGTCCTGCTGCCTTATAAGTAAAATGACAGTTCTTATCCATATTGATAT